ACACATGACATCATTGTGCAGAAAAAACTCATTGACACAAGAAAGATGTTGTTGGCACTGTAAGATTTGACCTGATTGGTTTACTTCTCACCAATCACATTATTTCTTACTTTACAATGGCATACCAGAGTTTTATGGGGAAAGCTTTGATGCTAACAGTTAAATAGCTCAAACAATGCAAAATATTTGAAATTTTTTTGTCGGAAACTCGAGCCTATGGGAAATGGCAAACTCTGGCGATTAGCCTTAAGATTTCATACTCTAATCTGTATCTCTGGAGTCCCTTAGATTATCTGGGAGAGTTGAAAGTCCTGTACATGCATATATTTCCTGACTCAAACTCTTTTAAGAGGACCTTTCTTAATAAATTTTCACCCATGCGACAAGGCTTACGTATTCTTGGTTCGCATCAACATGACAAGGCAGCCATGGTGGAGGTCAAAACAGTAGAATTTTTTCTCAAAGAATTGACATGACTGCAAACCAGTAATTTGAATACCGTAAATACACACTTATGTACCAAGCCTGCGAATACAGCCATTTCTCCTAGCTCCTCGCTGCAAGAGACATTTCACCAGGAAGAACGTCTGTGACTCAGCGATAGAAATTCCATACTGATGACAAATCAGTGTCTACCTAATAAACCCGGTAGTCATGGGGTTCCAAATGTAAATTTATTTGATTTTATGTTTCTTCTGGTTGATTATGGTAAGTTTTGTGATCTTTTGCAAATGAGCGACAGTAAAACTCCGATGATTTTTGTAAAGAAGAATATATTCTAGGAATATTGACTGTTTTGTAATAGATTCATCACGTTTACGTATGACCTTTGTGGCCTTTTGTCTGTCACTTGTAAACAATAGATAAAACAATATATCTACTACGTCAACCAATCAGAGCTCCTGACCAGATTTCGGACAGAATTTACGTCATCAATGTGGAATTTCTGTTGCTGAGTCACAGAAATTCTCCTGGCAAATGTCCTTAGTGGCAAAGAGCAAGGAGAAAAGGCTGAATTCGCAGGCTACTATGTACCAGTCAATTCCAAAACTGCCCATTCACAATTTGTACATCTCCCATAATACATCTTGTTTGCCTCCCAAAACTTTGCATAACCCTTGTTTTTAATTTCTCCTGGGTATTACAGTGGCCCTGAGAGAAATAAGACAATGCTTATGCAAAATTATGGGGGGAAAACAAGGTGTACGTGTATTATGGAAGATATGCAAATGGCAAATTCCTGCCTCTGTGCAAACCCCGAGCATCTCAATTTTTGAAAAATTTTGGTCAAATTTCCATTTTTGTTGGCAGTTTAGATGGTCATATGCCCCACCAATTTGCACTTCAAAAAGCCTCACCCACCATTTAATTGATCGCACGCTCACTTCCAAGTGGATTTCTTTACAATTCATGGCTATAATTTCATTGTGTGAAGTTAATTATAACTTTATTAACTGGAGCTTCGCCTTTAGTAAAGTGTGACTACCAACTTGGATTACTGTAATACATGGACTTCCTAAAGTTCTCTTGAACCGCCTACAGCTAGTTCAGAATAGAGCAGCGCGCATCGTAACATTCACAGAGAAATATGAACACATAACACCCAGCTTAATAGACTTACATTGGTTGCCTGTTGAATACCGTATTATTTATAAAATTTTATTGTTAGTATATAAGGCTATCAATGGACTTTCACCAAGTTATATATCCAATTTGCTCAGTTTTTGCAGCAGCTCCTACTCTTTGCGTTCTTGCTCGAATAAGTTACTTCAAGTCCTGAGATCTAAGCTAAAGTCTTATGGTGATCGAAGATTTTCTATTGCAGGACCTAAATTATGGAACAGCATACCCGCCTCTTTAAGGAATACCGATTCCTTGGATTCTTTCAAAAAACACTTAAACACATATTTATTTCACCAAGCTTTTTCTTAAGTTATAAATAGATTTTTATTCATTTTTTATACTTATATATGTAGTTGTTAGATTTTTTAGAGTTTTAATACATTTTTTGTAAAGCGCCAAGAAGAGTTAATGATATAGACACTATATAAATAAAGTTTATTATTATTATTATTACTATTATTATTATTATTAGCCGTGGCTAAATCCATGTATTACATTATATGGCATGACATCAGTGTCATGGTCATGGACTCAATTTGAACGTCTATTTTTGACATCACTTTGGCCAAGGAGGGATTCGAAAATGAGTTAACATGGTTAAGTTGTTTGTCTCTTTTTGTAGGGTAAATTTCGTTGGCTTTCTGAAGAGCTGAAGGCTCGCCTCGCAACTGAATGGAGACTCAAAGAACAAGCAGAATGGAGCCATAAGAGAATCAGGGTTTGTAGAAGATTCTTTTAAGTTGGTGCTCTTAATCGTAGACCTCGAGTAGTCTTTCATTAGGCGAGTGAGCGATCGTGTTAAGTGCGTGACAAGTGTAGAACGTGTGGAAGCGCCTTTTTGGTGTGCGGATTTTCGCGCGTTTTTGTGGGTTTGCAAGACATTTTAATTTTTTTGTTCTTTTTTTTTTGGCATTGTTAGGATGTCGTACAGAAAGCGGATGAAGATAAGGAATACTTTATATCTGAGCTGGATAAACAGAGCATGTTACTTGATGAACTAGCGGCACAAAAGAAAGGTAATCACGTAAAATCTTGAAAATCACAGATTATCATTAGAATGAGATGGGCCAATGGCCGACCTAGGGGGAGGGTTCAGGGGTTCTTTCCCGCCTAAATACACTCATAAGCGAAATAAACCTACACCCATGATAAATGAATACATCTAAAAAGACAGATGAAGGCTGTCCAGGGGATTTTTCATTCATATTCCTATTTACGTTCAGGGCTTTTTTGTTTTTAGAATTTTTCTGACATTGGATATGTTAATTTATTCAGGTTTAGAGTCCAAGAACAAACAGAATGCGGACAACATCAAGGCTCTTTAGGTAACTTATTTATTTCCAAAGTTTACTCTCCAACCCAGGGCGTTTACAGGGTTTTTTTATCTTTTATTTTTGGTCGTTTTTATTAAGAAAACAGGGCTCTTTAGATAGCTTTTAATGTGGCTTTCTTAACTCGCATAAGCGTTCTGACATGTTTCCTCTGTGTAATCTGTACGAGTAAAAAGACAATCATGAGCATCACCTTTGCTTATTATTGATATATTCACCACCATCACCACTGTTATCGCGAATATCTTTCTCGTCAACACCATTACCGTCGCCAATATCATCGCCAATACCATTGCCATTACCGGTATCATTACCGTCGATAGTACCATCACCATAACACTGCTGTTATCATCATTGTGATTATCACCACCACCGTCATCAGTACCATCATCATCATGACCATGATTATTACTTTCACCTTTGCCAAAACCATCATCGTCACCATATTGCCATCACCATTATCATTTGTCATCGCCATGATCATTACCAATGCCAATACCATCATCATTACCATATTGCCATCGCCATTACCAACACCATCACTATCACCAATGCAAATACCATCATCGTCACCATATTGCCATCACCATAACCAACACCATCCACCAACACCATGATCATCACCAATACCATAGCCTCTACCATCATTATTACCAATACCATTACTAACACCAATACCATGATCATCACCAATACCATCGCCTCTACCATCATTATTACCAATACCATTACTAACACCAATACCATGATCATCACCAATACCATCGCCTCTACCATCATCATTACCATTACCATTACTAACACAAACACGATGATCATTCCGATATCATCGCCTCTATCATCATTATTACCAATACCATTACCGCTTCCACCATCATCTTTACTGTTATCACGAACTCCACCATTATTGGCATTGTTGTACCACTACCTTTACTAACACTATTACCATCGCTTTTACCATCACTATTACCACCATTATCACCACCCATCCCACTATCATTATCCCCTTTATCAAGAGATCATCACCATCAGCACTGTTTCATAAATTTATCATGCGTTTATTTCTTTGTTTAACCAGGATAGGATAGCTCAGTTGACCTCGCATCTCGAAACGGTAAGTGCTTTGCCAATACAATATTTTCTTCTGTGTACGATACGATCAATTGTAAAAGACGGACTAAAATCAAATGCAGTTTATGGTACAATTATGATTCTGTTTTTCTGACGCTGTTAAATTACGGCATTTTATACGTTATTTTGCATTGAGACGTATTAGAATCGAAAAATATGCCAGTGTGATCTAAAAATTGGCCAACGTTTTTCTCGTACAAATTCAAACCTTTTCGTTCTACTGCAGCAGAACCTCCTTAAACGACCACCGATCCAAACACCTAAATTTCCCGGTCAGTTTTATGGTTAGAACGTCCCTTAAACAACCATATCTCACAAGAAACCACGCCCACTTTTTGGATGACGATTTTGCAAATTTTTACTGTTTTTAACTTCTTGAAAGTGACATGACTTGACACATGAACTGACCTCTAAGTTTGCTGTATGTACTACGTTACCCAGAGTATACAAAGAACTTTTAGTGACAGCGTGTAACTACACATGTCGTAACTTAGATTTTCTGCTGAAAGTTACATTGGTCGAAACTCCGCTCGGAAGAGATCCCCTTTTCTGTTCTCTTAAACGACCACTAAATCTTTGCATTTATGGTGGTCTCTTTAGCCTTTCGGGAAGATCGACTGTATAAGAAAAGAGTGCTCGAATTACGTCATTATGCTTGTTTTTGTAGAGTACACGAGCCTTACACGCCACTGCTGAAGCTCTGGACGACCGACAAAAGGTTCTGGAAGAATTTGAAGGTTTACGGGTGAGAAACTATTATAATATGGAACTTAATATGGAACTTAAAGATTAACTCTGTCATAAGATTGATTTAAAAACCTCGGTGATGTAAATTGTCAGGGGAGTGGTCCAAAATTTCTTTTGTTTTGTTTTTTTTTTTCCCAGCGCCTTCACGTTCAATTTTTATCTCGTGATATGGTCGTCTGGTTGTTGTAGACAGAAGAATTTAGCTTCTCGTCATTCGTAGTGTTCAAATCCCGTACAAGCCAGTTCTTCAGGCGTTCTTTGGCAACTGCAAAGTTGTGTCCATAACTGTGTTGTTCGTTTTTACTTTTAATTCTTCTTCCCGCAGTTCATATATTAATTCTTTCATTCGCCACTTGCACATCTCCCATAATATACCTTATTCCCTCCCCCGAAAAAAAAAAAATTTGCATCAACTTTGTTTTTCATTTCTCCTGGGTATTACAGCCGTCCTAAGAGAAATTGAAAACAATGCTTATGCAAAATGTTTGGGGTTAAATAAGGTGCATTATGGGAGATGTGCAAGTGGCGAATTGTATTGCTTCTTTGTTTACAAATTGCTTAGCCACTACGGTTTCAGTGCCTGCAAAAGGTACATACTGATGTTGTAAGGATAAACTTGTCGTTTCTGATGAACTGTACAAAAACCGTTTTTTTTTTGCCTTGTTTCAGGGGCAACAGAGAGAAAGAGACAAACTTCACGACAAGTATGTCAGGTTAGTATTTTGCTGCGCTTACAGGGAGTCAAGGTAAACAGAGACAATAAAAACAGCAATAGCAATTACAATTCGATGTCAAATGTCCGTTAAATGTGATACCGTCAAATCTCTCGCTTATAGTTACACATAGCATAAATAGTTTCCACTGCATTTAAGTCGTTTAGTTAGTAGAACACAATGAAAATTCGGTGCTACGATTTAATATGAATTTTTTTGTTCGAGTAACATTGAGTTTGTCGAAATTTAGCGTCCTGTGTCAAGGCACACTTGCGCACTTGCTCTGCAATTTTATCAACAACCTGCCTAACTGTCCGGGCCGTTTCTTGAAAGTCCCGGTATCTTTCCGGGCCCGAAATCAGATACTGAAAATAAAGGCGTAGGTCCTGCCTAGCAAACTACTCCATTTTGTTTCATTAACTGATAGTTTTATCATGTTAGATGCAAAACTATTGAAACCTCGATCTTTAATGTAAACGGCAACAGCTAACCGGGCCCGTTGATTATCGGGACTTTCGACTCAGAAACGGGCGCCAGGGGCCCGTTTCTCGAAAGTCCCGGTAACTTTACGGACCCGAAATCAAATATTCAAATCGAAATATAAAGAATAAGAGCGCGGGTCCTGGCTGGCAAACTACTCCATTTTGTTTCATTAACTGACAGTTTTATCGTGTTAGATGCAAAACTATTGAAACCTCGATCTTTAATGTAAACGGAGACAGCTTACCGGGCCCGTTAATTATCGGGACTTTCGAGAAACGGGCCCCAGGCCCCACCACATTGCGGAAAACAGAACGCAAGGCATCATGGGAAGAGTGCAGACCATCCCTCCAAAAACAATACGCGTGTTACTTTAAAAGCAACAAGGAACGCTTAGAAACGAAACAGAGTAAAGACTGTCCGCGTAATATGATGTGGAACGTAAAATGCATCTGGCAAAGCTCACGTTTCGTTTCTTTGTTAGGTATAAAGAAAGAGTTGGCAGTATTCGCCGAGAATTACAAGGAGCGAAATCAATGGCGGAGGACTACAGGGTGAGAAAATATTGTCATCTTACTGTCATCTAGCCTGCAAGCAAGCTCCCCATTTGGGGATATCGTGAAAAGTAGACGCGCGAGAGGCACGCCAGAGGAGACGCGAAAGCGGGTGGCGGGGGAGACAAATGAAAATTCATGAGAGATCGTCGCAAGCTCTCCTTCCCTCGGCCCTTCGCAGTTGTGCCGCTCGCTCGCGCGTTCTCGCGCGGCTTGCTTCGCTCGCCCAAATAGGAGAGCTTGCTCACAGGCTAACTGCCATCATATTATTGGCATCCTTTTAATGTTGTTTTACATATTTAAATATCTTGTTGAGACATTCACTGTTTGAAATGATCGACAAAATGTCATCTAACGGATATCCGTTTATTTGAACAGCAAGAGGGTCTGGACGCCAGCAATTTGTCCACAAGACTATTGGAGGTAACGAAAAACACCACGAGTAGCCCCTCTAATTTCTTAGTCCGCGTGCGAGAAAAAGTATCCACGCCACGCGTGTGTTACGCGTGCCACTCTACTAAGGCCTCGTCCACACGAATCTGGATATTTTTCGAAAGCATATAGCTCACTTCGATAAAGAGTGATAGCCTGGGACCCAAACTAGGCGCGCGCGCATTTATGGGATTAATTGGGGGAACGCGAATGTAAACAAACATGGCGGAAAGCGAAGTGGAATGTTTCAGGGGAGTTCCTGAAGTTATTTGTACACAAAGGCACACAACAACTGGCACGTCTCGTCATAATACAAGGTGGCTGCTCGACGTGTTCCCCCAAACAATCCCATAACTGCAGCGCGCTTAGTTTGGGTCCCAGGCTATCACTCTTTTCCGAAGTGAGATATTGTTTTACAAGATTCAGCCTTTCGTCCACACAAAACCAGTGAATCCGCTGAGTGAACCCGCCTGTTTTTGAAGCTGCTCTACAGAGCCCACACGAATCCGGGTAAAACAATATGCAGTTTCAAACATTTCCGAATTTGTGGGGACAGGGTTCCAAATTTGACGAAAGGATAAGGGGGCTGCACGCAGTCTGGGGAAAAAAAAAACTTTGTTTTAACCGAAGTATGTCGATTTGGTCGTTTTTGTTTTGTTTTTGTTTTTGTTTTTTTCGCTTTTTTCCATTGGTGCTGAAGATTCAGTTTGATTTGTATGTTGTCTTTTTAGAGTCTAGACCGCATCTCCAGTCCAAAAGCCAAACAACGAAGACTTCATCAGTTTCCAGACACGCCACCAACTAATTTAAGGTAAGTGCGTAGACTAACTCGCTTAATTATGCCATTATATGTTACAAATTCTTCTTCCTTGATTGCAACGTTTTACCCTATTCCTTTGAAGGGGCGATGAAATTCGTTGCCCAGTTTCCCTAAATTGATAGGTGAATGCCACTTAGGATCGTTTTGGTTGTACTTGTTTATTATCTCATTCAACAAATAATAACTTTCTTTACTTTGAATATATTTGTACGCAAAATAATTTTAGTTTTCATACTTCAGGATCAGTAAGTAGCACAATGGGTTTCTCATTGGAATATGGTGTTCATATTTCAAAACAAAATGCAAATAAGATTTATAAACTTCTCTGGACACATTCTTTTGAATTGGTGCTTTTTCGTTCCCCTTTTTCTCTCTTCCCTCACAGTGACTGTATCATCTTTCTCTCATTTGCAGACCACCGACAAGTAAGACTATGCCTGTTTCAGAATGGTCTCCGTCATCGGATAACACTTTATCCACCGTCTCGGAAAGTTANGTTTTTGTTTTGTTTTTGTTTTTGTTTTTTTCGCTTTTTTCCATTGGTGCTGAAGATTCAGTTTGATTTGTATGTTGTCTTTTTAGAGTCTAGACCGCATCTCCAGTCCAAAAGCCAAACAACGAAGACTTCATCAGTTTCCAGACACGCCACCAACTAATTTAAGGTAAGTGCGTAGACTAACTCGCTTAATTATGCCATTATATGTTACAAATTCTTCTTCCTTGATTGCAACGTTTTACCCTATTCCTTTGAAGGGGCGATGAAATTCGTTGCCCAGTTTCCCTAAATTGATAGGTGAATGCCACTTAGGATCGTTTTGGTTGTACTTGTTTATTATCTCATTCAACAAATAATAACTTTCTTTACTTTGAATATATTTGTACGCAAAATAATTTTAGTTTTCATACTTCAGGATCAGTAAGTAGCACAATGGGTTTCTCATTGGAATATGGTGTTCATATTTCAAAACAAAATGCAAATAAGATTTATAAACTTCTCTGGACACATTCTTTTGAATTGGTGCTTTTTCGTTCCCCTTTTTCTCTCTTCCCTCACAGTGACTGTATCATCTTTCTCTCATTTGCAGACCACCGACAAGTAAGACTATGCCTGTTTCAGAATGGTCTCCGTCATCGGATAACACTTTATCCACCGTCTCGGAAAGTTAGTTTTTTGTTTTGTTTTGCTTTTTGTGTTTACGTGCATGTGTTTACTAGACCTTATACATGGTCACAGTATTCTTGAACCTTGGGCTCTTATCCGGCCGGCTGGAGAGGACTGGAGACGAAGCGAAGGCTCTTCTTTGTTAACTTGTCGTCCGACATGCCAAAAGAGAAGGGTGTTGGGATCGAAAATGTGATGGGTCGAGTAGTCGGGCGATGATGCGGAGCTCACATACCAAGTTACGAGCTCGGGTGTGTTTTGGGCTTATGCTATCATGAAACACAATACGCGATAAAACTGAAAAGGGTCATACTAAGTCAGTGTTTTTTTTTTTTTAACGGAAAATTACTTATTTGTGGCTAAATCTGCAGGCTCTTATTACTCATGGTTCTTTCGATCCGTAGTTTCGACTAGGCAACTTTTTCTTTTTCGATGTCTCAACACTCGTAACATTTAAGCTTTCTTTGGTAACTTTCGCTCAATTGTTTTTCAGCTCTCTTGGAAGGGATTACCTTACAAATCGTGGTCACACCCATAAATGCCCAATGAACTGAGGCATTTTTTCTACTTAAGCATGAAGACATTTGCGGATGAACTGTAAAAACTTATTTTTGGTGTATTCAACTGAATTGAAGAGGGGTTGTCACCGTGCGCGTCTACTTTGGTCTTGTGGCTCACTCACATCTGGCAATCTGATGAGGGTCTACTTTGCTTAATCCACAATTCAAAACAGGTGACTACCAATCCTACTGAACTGAATTTTTACGATATTTTTCGTCTTATCTTTAGATCCTTCGCCCTTGATTTCACCTTTTAAAACAGATAGAAAACGAAGCTACAAGCTTAAGGATTACCGTGGCAAAGATCCCATTGCTAGTACTGACTTGGACTATAAAGAAAGGTAACGACAAATGGTAGGTATCCACTGACAGTTGATGACTCTTGAGAGCGGTAGGAATCCAGTGCTAGGACGATATCCTGAAACGGCGATCAATTACTTGTTATAGAACACTAAGCAGAGACATGATGATAACAATCTATGAAAAGACTCCCATCAGTTCGCTCTTTGCTGCTTCTCTTTGCCTGCCCCTGGCCTCTTTCGTGCTTTCTCGCCATCTCTTTGCTGTGTCCCTTCAGGTCTCTCGCGCCCCTTCTGGCCTTGTCTTCATCCTTGCCCGTAGTGCAGGCGTATTTTTTGGCCAACCGGAGATCTTTCAGTAAAAACCCTCGCTCTACTGGCGCTGGAGAAAATCAGAGACTATGGGACGGAATTTCACGCAAGCTGTTGAAGTTATCCACAGTTTCCCGAAAATGTCTCAAGTTATAGTCAACTTTAAGCCGTAACAGGACAAAGTAATACCCATAGGCTTAGCCTGCCTGTGAATAAGCTTCCAGAGGAATGTGGTGAGGGAACCGGTAGCCTCTTCTCCTCCCCCCTCCTCCGCCCCTTTCCATCTGTTCGCACTCTTTAGCTTTCTCTTCATCCCTTCCCCACAAGAGAGCCTGTTCAGAGGCTGCCCATACCGTGGGCATCATATCTAAATTGAATGAGGACTCTATTCTGACCCTGGCGTTGATCAGACTTTTCACAGAGTACGGTTGAACTTTTATGTCAGAGGAGAGACAAAACGTGAGAAAACTTCTTGTAAACTCCAAATCGTGGGTTTCACCCCGTTACTTCGAGAAAGGAAGGGATTTATCGGGTGAGTCCTTAGTTCTTTTGTATTTTCTGTTTGTCAGTATATATACTTATATGTTATATTTTCAATTTTCCCTAGATGAAAAAAAAAGCCGCGTTGGGCGTAATGCAGGCTCCAAGCGTGATGATATCACCTACACATCGCGGCACACTCGTCAAATCCCGTTCCTAGGTCCCTCCCCTACTCATCCTCTCGAGGGACGAGTCGGACAGGACCCTGGGAACTAGATTACACACTCGCCTTGTATTTAAGGAAACAAAGTTATAAATAGTCGACTGTATGATACAAACAAGATGTACGTGCTTTTATTTAACTCTCTTTTAATCGTTGACTCTGTACACCTGGAGAAAACATAGACCTCCTCGGAAGAAATATGGGATTAATATATAATGAGTTACTCACAGTACTGAATTGTGGTGATTGTTTTTATTGCAACTGTTGATTGATGGCACATGAATAAATCACTGTGACACACTTTTATCAGCTAATTTATCAGCTATCGAATGAAGTGATTTTTTTCGCCCCCTTTTTTGTCTGTTTCACCCTTTTTTGGCTTATAAACTTGGCGCGACGGCAATGTTACGCTTACGCAATTGGTTTATTTACTAGACCGGAAATAAAAAGCTGACCGGATGTTAAATTTTGTGCTTATGCGCAATGCGTTTTGCCGCGGTGTTAGCATCACATATCGAAATGGTTAGACGGAAGTAAATTTTCAGAAGTAAGGACTAGAATGTAGTGCCCAAACCCTCTCGGCCAACCTCTCGGGCACGATGTTCGATGTGATTGAACGACTTGCTCTAGTCCGTAAAAATTCGAAGATGAAAAGAAACCCAAATCGAAATCTTTGTAAATGGTTTTAGTGACCCTCTCATCACTCTGAAACACCCTGGTGCACTTTTGCAATAAACAAACACGTAGCAAATTTCAGATTTTGACCCAAACTCATTGGTGAACTCGTTATGAAAAATCCAAGATGGCCGCCAGCTGAAAGCAGAATATGATAAATAATTTATAGGTGTATTGTCACGGGCTCAAAATGTCACCAAACACCATTTTCTTGCATTGTTTTGACAATACACAAACTAAACAACATTTAAAATTTTGATTTGTCGAGCACTTGAATTGTTAAAGAATGTGGCGCCTAGTTATCTCACTGAAAGCTTTATTGACAGGCTCGCACAAACTTGAAACGTCCTTGAACTTAAGGGAAGGTCCTTAAAGTCTTTGAATTCTATTTTTCCTTGAAAAGTCCTTGAATTTTCTTCAACTTTGAATGTAGTGGCCTGGAAAGAGTTTTTTTATGCTCTTTGGTTGTCCAAGACAGAATATAAATCATAGCTCAGAGAATTTAAAAGTTATTTACATAAAGTGCTCTATGTTTCATGCAATAATTAACTATCAATTTAAGACCAGTGAACTGAAAAATGTAGAGAAGTTGGTGAAGCAAACAGTTCAAGCCTTAAAGTCTTATTACAATAGACTAGGAATGTTCATTTTTGTACAATGTGTGAAATTGTATTCATAGTAGGTGGTCCTTGAAAATCTAATGTGGTCCTTGAAAAATGGTTGCAAGTTTTTGTATGAACCCCGATTGAACTGCAGAACTAATTACTACTTACCGAATTATATTAGAAATAGATATCATGCGATTACTCAGCTGATATTGCCTTACATGGCTGGTTGCTAAATATAACCTTCAAATACCACAGACCCAAAATCAAGATGGCCTCGAGCCAAAATCAAGAGTCTTGATAACCTTGTCGCTACTCTAAAACTTATAAACATCATTTCTTGGTCGATTTGGACCTGATTTCGACGAAAAGAAAAAAGAAATATGAGTCTGACCCAAAATCAAAGGCTACCTCGACTTAACTGAAACATCTAAAATAGTGAAATTAATAAAACAAAAAAAAAGTAATTAATATTTTCTGGTTAGTGTCTTGGTTTGTCTTGGCCAATTTACTTGTTGATTGGTTGTCCGAAGTGTTCTAGTGTGTTTTGGAATGCTCTGTGGTGTCTATGATCGTCTAAGGCCCCGTCCATACGTATCCGGATACTTTTGGAAACGGATATTATTTCCCCGTTTTTAAAAAAATACTCATCCACACGTAGCGTATTCGAATCGTTTTTGCCCGTCCACATGAAAACGCTAAAGCGATGGAAATACGATAGCATGCCTTATTGAGAAATGTGTCATGCCCGAAGTATATGATGTATGATATCGTGTTCGAACACCTCCGTTTTCGTCCGTCCACATACAGCTATTTCGAAACAGGTAGTGCACGCGACAATCCCGAAAGGGATTGTGGGTGGTTTTGATTCTACTGTTCTCCGAAGAAGTTTGAAAGAATGGCACGAGAGACAATGGACATATGTTTGTGAGTGCTAAAGGAAAGCAACAAAAGTGGGTTCGACAGCTAAGGTGTCAGGAACAGTGTATTGACCATATCCAATATTACCTTTCGGGATTGTTGCGTGCACATTTTTTCCGACAACATTTCTCGAAATAGCTGTATACACAAAAAGCCAGCGTTTTTGAAAAGGTGCTTTTTCGTTGACTGTTTTCATTGGGTACGTGTAGACAATAGGCAAAACCGGAGAAAAAAAATCCGGTTTCAAACAAAAACGGATATGTGTGGAAACTGCCCACCTACCCCTCCCCTAAGCCATCATTTTGCACTAAGTGGGAAGTAAGTGTTAATGTTAGCTTAACTTTTGAGGTTCTTTACCAATTTTGCAAATTACTTTCGCAATCTTTTATAAACTTAGAATCTCGATGTAATTTATCATGAGCTGTGGAAATATTGAAGGATTGTTTTCTCCAAAGAACTCACTTTTAAATTAGCAAAACCTTTCTTGGTAACAATGCGCGTACAAACTAGGCTACTGTCTATTATGTGCCTTGGCAACTTCCTTACATAGAATTGCCTCAGTTTTCAAATCTGATTTAGGAAATAAAATTTGCAAAAATTCAAAATTTCTTTTGCACCATGAGAATTTGTTTCAGAACTCGTGGTTCTTCACCCCCAGTTAAAAGTAACCCATACATCTCTGAGAAGGGGTTTCCGCATGGTTTCTTCTGCAACCTTTTTCACCTCATCCCAGCAGTCAACACTGGCGTACAGGTTGTTGGTTGGGTTGGCGGGATCAATGATATATGCCTCATTCAGAAGACTGAAATGCCAAAAAAGAAAATATGCCATAAATAAAATTCCATAGTGAAAGAAAATTTGTGCAATTGCTATAAATTTTAAAATCAGCCACGTGTTACGAATGTCTTGCCATGAGAGTCATTACTTGCGAACTTTTCAGCTGATTGAAATAAAGAAAAAGGATTATGGGAATGAAGGACTCAATGCGTCAGAGGGAGGGGAGGGTTAAGGGACGTTTGTCGAAATTTTATGCCGGTTTATCGACATCCGAGACGCCTATGTCGTCGAGAATGTAAAAAGCGGCTCACTTATTCCTACTGTAGTAAAAGCAATTTAAAACTCTCCATGAATCTACCTGATTGGAATCAAATCCCTTCTGTAGTAATCTTCCCAAGAAACACGAAGACTTTGGTGATTCTTTAGAACCTCCATAACAGCTTTAAAACCAATCTTCATATCAAAGCTCTCTGGAGGATTCAGTGGATTTGCATTTTTCCAGGCGTGTATTGTGAGAAGTTCCAGCAGATAGGAGGGCGGGAGACGCTTACTACCACTCAGTGGAATGTACTTCTTGCACCAGTACTTCACCATTCGAATCAGGTATTTTACGCTTGCGGGCCGTTTTTTGACGAAGTCCCTTTGTATCTTCACAAGAGCAGCCGAGTAGTATGGCCAGTTCTCTTTAGTATCGCTAAGCATTTCTTTGTAAAACGTTTCTCCTTTTAAGACAAAGAATATTTAATTTCTTCTCAGACTTAACGTCATAAAAGTATTTTTACAAAAAGCTGATGAATCGTTTTTCTCAAGATTTTGTATCTCTGTTGCACTTCCCAGCGTTGGGGAATACCAAGTGAACTGACGCTTTGAAATTTGCAAGTCATACACACGACACCGGTAGAAACTAAACAGACCGAGTTTCTAGCCGTTATCGCCATTATAGTGGCTATTATTGGGGGGGTGCCATCTACCCATAGAAATTTTACTTGGAGCGACCATGAGGTCAGGTCTTTATCTAAAAGGGCTTTGAGTACATTACTAAGCTCATTGAAGACTGATTTAGGGGAAACAAAATTTTAAGAAGTTCAAGATGTTACAGTAAAGTTAATCAGTTGTGTGTCTTAGGCTACTAATGGAATTCGAGCTTGGGCCTCCCATTCAGAAAGCGTGCACTAACTAAACTGTGCCTGTCACCACTTCCCATGAAAGCAGTGTTGCAACCCTTGCGCTTAAATAAGTACATATCATTGTTACCTTCTATGTTTGCCTCAAATGTTGGCAAGACAGCAACCGTAATAGTGTCTTTAGGGTTGGAATGACGTGACATGTTAAACACCAACGAAAACGGCGTTTTTTCTTTTAAAGTTAGTTTCCATTTGACCCCTATACTGCTCCCCAAACGTTTCTTTAGGTCACGTAGGACGTTGGGTAGTTCTGCTTTTAACTGGGAAGCGTCTTTAATGTTCGTCGTGATCATCACGCAGTTTAGGTCGGAGTGGTTTTTTAATGCAGTGCCTTTTGCAATAGATTCAGCCTACAAATATAAGGCAAACATGTAGAGTCTAATCATAGCATTTTTATCACTTTCTTGCTAGATATATATATTTATTAAAAACTGAATCATTGGATAATGCAATTTTAGAGCTCTGATTGGCCTAGCCATCATGGTATATGAGCCATTATACCATGCTCTCCAAATATGGTGACTTTAAGCAGCTGCTCAAAATTAAAAACAAGCTGAAAATCCGTTGATTTTTAGAAATAAAGTCGGGAAGAATTCTCGATATTTTGTGGGCGTTTTTAATAAAACAATTATTCCACTCGCGCTTGTTGGATATGAGATGATTACAGCCAACTCATATCCAACGCGCACTCGTGGCATAATTGTTAAATATATATAGTTTATATTTACCAAGAGGCGTGACCCTAGTTGCAGAAACCTCTCTCGATCAGCACTCAGGGCAAAAGTATCGGAATCGCTAAACGAATTTCGTACAGGCAAAATCAGCGATTGGCATTGAGGATAGCATTCATTTACCCGCGTTTCAATGGACTTTTTCACCGATACGGCGGCCATATTGAATTAATTCGATTTAAGGAGTATTGTAGGATGCCCAGGGGACATGAGCACATTTCGTTTGTATTTTCGAGCGCTTTTCGGGACATTTTTTCTTAAAGTTTTCTTAGAATAAGATTGTTATGGGAAAAAAGATCCTTGTGTCGTGTTTGGATGTAAAAATGATCTCCTTTTTCTAGTTTAGTATTAGAAATAAGGTCTTTCACTGTATATTTCTCG